TTTTTTCTGTTTTTGGTGACATTTTTGGGATAGACTACATATTTTCTATACTTACAATAAATAACCTATAATCAATAGTTAATATACTTAATATGTAATCAATAATTGTTTAACCATCACTTATCACCATTTCTGACTGGCTGTTTTGAATACAGCATTGGCAGTGCTTCGTTTTTTTTTTCCAGATTTTTATACTTTTGCTTCAAATCAACATTTGCAATGCTGGTTGGTTTGGTTTATGGCTTTTAACTCTTAACTATTTTTTTTTTAATGCCTATGGTTAAAAATTAATTGTATAAATACTTCTGCAACCAAAGTCACTACAAAAGTGAGCAGTCAATGTTGAATTGTAAGAATTGTACAGCACATGTTGAAATACATATGTTTCAGCAATGTTCTGAAACAAGACTTTCAGAGTCTGAAATAACTTTACATCAAGACACTGATGTAAAATACTGTAGAGAGAGGCCCTGGCATGACAAAATATGTGGTTTTACTCCCAACCCTGAAGCAAGGTTGCCTGTGATATCTGTCCGTGAGGTGTCTGACTCATTTTAAAACATTTTAGTGCATGACGTTTTTTGGATTACAACATTCATAATAATTGAAATTCATCATATGGGTTGATGATCGACGTCTATCAGGACATGCCAGTAAGACAGCTCACTCTAAGGATATTATGCATTTAATGTATTAGCTCAGAGAAAAAGATTACATCAGATGTGCTTTGTGGGCTGCCCTGCAACCACACGAACATCAATGTGCAAACAAGACAACCCAAAGAAAACACCTAGGAAATAAGCAAATGTGTCAAATGATGTGATGGTGAGGAAATCTGATATAAGTGTGCCATTGAGAGTAATGTTCCCGTATTGGGAAATAGTCTGGGAGAACTGTTGTGTAACTGCTGTGCTTACAAGTGCTTTTTACAGGAAAGAGGATGTAAGCAACTCAATGTTGCCATGCATTCATAGAGAGAATGTAAGGGTAGGATTCACATTATTATTTTTTTGAGCAGAAGCTGAGAGCCCTACAGAATTTCAATACTCTGATGGCGGTGATAGGAGGTCTGTGTCATAGTTCCATCTCTCGTCTCAAAGACACAGCCAGCCTGCTGTCCTCTGATGTCACAAAGGTCAGTCTGACCCCCAAAATTGCTACACACATCCTTTTTGCTCTCACGCAACTGTTTTTATAAGGGCTTAACCAATGCCATGATCTTAAGCCATTGATTTGTTTAGCTATTGATGTATATTGATCTTTATGTTGATTCTTTGATTAGTTAGAAACACCTGCATCCCAATATTTGCTTAGAGGTCACATGTTGTGATAAAGTCATATACAGTACATTCATATTAATATCAAAAATATCTCAAATTTATATGAAAGCTACTGGTTCACATTTTCAGCAGAAAAGCAACCAGAAGAGAATAATTTTCACTGCTTTCAATGTTCAATATTAGGTTAGTTTCTGCAGTTGTGGTGTCTATTAAAGACAAATCCGCAGAAATCTAGATTTCCCCCCAAATTCAGAGCAAAAAAAAAAAAAAAGTTATTTGTGGGCCGGTTCATGCTTAAGGATTCGGGCTCCTTGCACAAATGTTTTAGTTGATGTCTTATTTTGGATGGAAAATTGAAATAACTATCTTGCTGTTTGCCCTTGAGCAAGGTACACCACAAGTTGCCTCAGGTTTTTGCGAGTAGGGTACTATAAAACACTTTAAAAAATACATTTTAAAAAGTTAATGGCATTTGGCAAAGAAAAATGGCAAAGCGGTGTTTGATGAAGGTGCAAAATGAAAAAGGTAAATAGTTAATGCTAAATATATATAAAAAAAGATTTTGTAATAATGTACTAAAAATGTGGTAATAATTTAGCATAAAAACATTATCATTTAAAAAAAGTCTAGATTTGATAACATTAATTAATGCATTAGGTATTATAAACTAACAATTAACAATAAAAAAATTGTTAACTCATGTTTCAAAAGTAAGTTTAAAAATACGCTTATTCAGCAACGATACATAAAATTAATCAAAAGTAAAGACATTTATAATATTACAAATTTCTATTTGTTTTTCTTTATACGTTTCTGTTCATCCAATAATTCTTAATCAAGGTGTCCACAAAAATATTCAGCAGCACAACTGTTTTCAACATTTCTAATAAGAAATGTTTCTTATAAATTGAAAATTCAGCTTTGCCATCACAGGATTACATTACAGGTGCATCTCAATAAATTAGATTGTCGTGGAAAAGTTCAACTCAAATTGTGAAATTCGTGTATTAAATAAATTCAATGCACACAGACTGAAGTAGTTTAAGTCTTTGGTTCTTTTAATTGTGATGATTTTGGCTCACATTTAACCCACCAATTCACCATCTCAACAAATTAGAATACTTCATAAGAATCAAAATAGAAAATGTTATTTAAAATTGTAATAATATTTCACAATATTACTCAAATTGTATGTATTCGTAAATGTTGAAATGAACATGTTTTACATATAGATATTTTATGTTAGATAGTACACTAACTAATGTTAAAAAAGTGCTACTGATAAAATAACAAAATGAGATCGAAGTTCTCTGAAAGGCTCAAGCCATGTTGTTTTCCCCCAGACTCTCAGTGAGCTCACAGAGCTGCTGTCGTCCTACAGCAACTATTCAAACTACAGGCGCGTGTACAACGACTGCACTGGATTCAAGGTGCCCATCTTGGGCGTTCATCTCAAAGACCTGATCTCCCTCAACGAGGCGCTGCCAGACTACCTTGAGGACGATAAGATCAACCTGGGGAAAATGCAGCATTTATACAGCAACATTAGCGACTTGTTGGCCATCCATGACTGCACCCCACCGTTTGAGGCCAACAAAGACCTGCTGCACCTGCTAACGGTGAGACAGGGAAAACGGTGGTGTGAGAGGGATTTGTTGTCAGAGGAATGTGTTACTGGAAAGCCTCTCTTCTCGAAAGTGTTTGTTGTGCCTCATGCTGTGGGTTATAAATACATGACTAGGCCCCATCAGTACATGGAATAATTGTGCCTATTTAGAAGTGTGTAAACAGGCCTTTATTTCATTTCCACAGACAGCCTGCATCTATTTATAAGTCTAAATGAGTATTTTTTTTAAATCAGCCCTCATCTTTGTGGTTAAGCTCGGCTGTTTGTGTGTGATACTGAGAGATGTGGATTGCAAACAGTGGGCGTCCTCTCATGTGTAACCGTTCTGCCCCGCCTTGCCCACAGCTCTCGCTAGACTTGTGTTACACGGAGGACGAGATATATGAGCTCTCCTACACCAAGGAGCCCAAGAACCCCAAAATTCAGGTGAGGTTTTCAAAATAAACATTGCATTGTGTATTGTATACATATATTGTCTAAGGGTTCAGGATTCAATTAAACCTATAACACTACACTGTAAAAAATTATTTTTCAAAGTTGTAAATAAAACATTATTTTAAAAAGATCATTGGAGTATGTTTTATAACAAAACAGTTTTCTTTCTACTTTTATGTTTAATGTTATATTTTTTATATATATTATGTTTAATGTAATGTTACTTACGGTTTCTTTGTAATTAATTGTGAAATTTATTAGCAATTTCAGAAAAAGTGAAAACAGTGTAGGTATCAATGACATTTCTCATTCTTATATTAATTTATATATTTTTATATATTAATTTATTGAAAAACTGTATATTAATTTATTTAAAAAAATAAAATAAATGCCATTAACACATACACTGAAAAAAAATGTAGGATTTACTTTGATTACAATTTCCACTCTGAAAAAGTAAATTTCACAAATAATTAAAAAAGAAATGACAAGTAACACATTGAATTATACATGAAAATTTGAAGTAGAAATATAGTATTTTATTGTACTCCAAATTGTTTTTTATTGTTTATTGTACTCCAAATAATCAAAACAAAGTTTTATTTTCTGCTTCAAATTTTTATTTTTTTGCAGTGTGCAATGACTTGAATACACATCTTATATATATATACACACACACACACACACATATATATATTTATATATATATATATACATACATACATACACACACATATATATATATATACACACACACACACACACATATATATATATACATACATACATACATATATATATATATATATATAAAATCAAATATTTGTAACGTATGTTACACAAAGAAAATGCATTTAAAAAATCGCAGACGTAATTATTTGCTACAGTCTTTTAAAATATCATATAATTTGACCTTTTTATGTCAAGTTGAGGTTAGTTCACATTGTAAAATGTGAAGTAGTGCAACTCCCTCCCCATTACAATTTTTGAGAAAGAGTCTCCAAATTCAGTCTTTTTGGGTGCAATAATCACTCGAATAGTAACACAGCTTAAGAAATCCCGAAACATCCCACAGACAAATCCCATATGTATGGACCATCATATCACAGAGCACTAAAGGTGTGCTCTTTTTACATGGAGCAGAAAGAAACCAGTAGAAACACTATCAACCATATAGAAACACCCTTAAAACTACTCAGAACATGTTAGCACCCACATAGCAACACCCTGGTAACCTCAAGCACCCTGGCATTACCAGAAACAAGGAGCACTCCGATTTTCTTCAGAAAGTATGAAAATTTAGTAGTCTCCAACATCTAAAGACTGCATATTCATACGTTGACTTGTTTTACATATGCAACAGGCTGCTATTAACGACTTTAGCCAGTATTTCCATATAGTTTGAACTTGTATGTGACCTGTTTATAGACAGGGAGTATCCCGTGCTAATGTGTGGGTACAGGGCTCAGCGCACTCCTCTTTGTGCAAACACACTTCAAAGAAAACCACAAAAAAGACACACATTGCTGAAAGATGCACGATCGTTATCTTCGTCGCTTTCAGTGTGGGTGTTGTTACGTACAAGCTTTTTTGATTATTTCCTATAAAGCCTCTCTGCCTGTGACAGCGTTCGCGTTTTACAAATAAGCCACCATCATTTGTATAGTGTTTTCACAGCAGCGTTTCTCAGTTGCTGATCTTGTGCGAGTTGGTGTTGAGTGTCAAAACAAAACTGTCAGGTCTCTAACCACCCTTTTTCTGTAGCCCGTAGCTCCGGTGAAGCCCCCAGTGGTAGCCGAGTGGGGATCAGGAGTGACTCCGCGTCTGGATCCTGACACCATCTCGAAACACGTTAAACAGATGGTGGATGTAAGTGAGAAACGTGTTTATTCCCACTTTTAGGGCCAGTTCCTTAGTGTGACACTGCGACGGCCAGTTCCTGGCTGTCCACTCTCACTTCCTTAATAGCGTGTAGGCCCTTCAAGACCAAATGTCACAGGCTGATCATTTTAGAAGTCAGTGTCTTACATTAAAGATCACAGTGATTTTGTTGCCCCCTACAGTCTATCATGAAGAATTATGATTTGAACATGGACGGCTACATTTCTCTGGAGGACTTTGAGAAGATCGCTGCAAATTTCCCTTTCTCTTTCTGCACACACGAGAGCGATAGGTGAGACGAGGTCTTTTACACTCTTATAGATGTAGACTACCGAGAACAAACAGGGTTGTGTTAATGACAGAAATGAAAGTGATATATTTACAATTTCGTTTAAAAGTTTGGGGTCGGTTTTGAAAAGAAGTCTTGTATGCTCACCAAGGCTGCATTTATTTTATCAAAAGTCATTTCTTTGGTCAATATTGTTACAATTTAAAATCATTGATTTAAATTTTATTATATATCAAAATGTTATTTATTGCTGGGATGCAAAGCTGATGCAAAGCAAAGCCGATTTCAGAAACTTTAAATGGGTCATATGATGCTTTTTTAAAGATCATTATTTTGTGTATTTGGTGTAACAGAATATGTTGACATGCTTTAATGTTCAAAAAACACATTATTTTTCAAATACTGTACATTATTGTAGGTCCTCTATGCCCCGCCTCTCTCAAACGCTTCGTTTTCTACAAAGTCCCTCCTTCCGCCAAGCGCAGTCTGCTCTGATTGGCCAGCTGACCCAGTGCATTGTGATTGGCTGAACACCGCAAGCACTCGTCGGAAATGTAATGCCCCTTACCATAATCGCGAGCTTCATCTTTCAAAATAAATGTAAAGACAGAGCCCGAAAGGGGAACAGAGTCTCGTGACAGACAGTGATGAAGCTGGTATGTGTTTGCAGTACGCAAGCCACGGTTAAGACAGCTGACTCCACTGTGATGTGACCCCCCCCTCTCTCTCGCTCTCTCACACACGATGCGCAAAACTCCGCATTTGAACAGTCGATAGCAAATACTTAAACTAATAACAAAACAGTAACTGATTCAGAAGCGCAGATTGTCATAGCAAAGTCAGAATTACCTCCTCTCCTAGGTTCATGAAAAGTCAGAATTACCTCCTCTCCTAGGTTCTGTTGTAAGTAATCTTAAAGATTCCTAAATGCATCTACTTTCGGAAGGCCAAATAAAGTGCTTTTGCTTTCGCCTAGAAACACACAGCGTCTCCCTGACATGGCTGCTTCAACACTAACTGCGGTTACTGAAACCACACCTTCTTTCTTTGCGTGCTCATTTGGGCGGCATTATGCTAATATTTCCACATAGTGAGGTAGATATGTGGGGGCGTGTTAGAACGAGCCGTTTTAGGGGGGGCATGGCAGAGTCTTAACTTCGATAAAGAATATATCTTTGGTTTTGAGACTTTAGTCTTTGCAACTTCAGGGATCTTATCTATGCACAATCAGCTTGTAACACTCCAAAGAGAAAGGAAAACTTGAAATCGCATCATATAACACCTTTAAGAAACATCATCAGAGTTGAAAACAGTTGTGCTGCTTAATATTTTTTATGGAAACATATATGCAGTATACTAAATAAATACTGACCCCAAACCCCATAAATGTCTTCTATGATGAACATATTTTCCATTTCTGAAGTCAACTTATATATATAAAAAAGCTCATTAAAAGGCTGAAGTGTAAGCTGGTATTTAAATAAATTGATTTTTACTTTATTTTATTTTATTTTATTCAAAATCAGTTGAAGTGAAGTTTAATTTGCCAAATCAAAGTTGGTGAGTGTTGTGAAACCAACATGCAGGAAGCCATTCTGTTGTCATGTGACAAAGAAAAACACAAAACAGGAAATATCACAGACGACCCCTCTAGAACTTTGAAATTTCAGAGTAACCATTTTATGGCAAGGCGAAGCTAACTCTGGATATTCTTTATTCAAAATTCTAGGACATTGAAAAATACCTTTTACAGTTTAAAGATTTATCATTTGTAGCGTCTGGACCAATCCAACACACTATATAGTCTCTTTTTATATGACAAATACTCTGTAACCTCAGTTAACAAGCCATATGAGGACCCATGGACCCTTCCCCCCGGAATGCGTAACACCCCAGGAAGTCGAACAGCCTCTTTGTTGCATGGCAACCAACGCTGATATCACTGGGTTTATTGGCCAAAAGTATGTAAAGCAGGGAAAATCCCTGCTTGTCCCAAGGAAAAGCAGAGTAGAAATGGACTGTGTTCTAGTTAATTCATAGAAAAACCGTTATTTGAATGAACACACATATTTCTTCAGGCCATTGAGTATATTATTGTCATTGTGTATTTTGTCTTTGATATTCTTAGACTATTTTAGTATGCTTGTGAGAGGACCCATTCCTGATCCTCCCTTTTCACTATATGTAATCCTACCTTGTTTAGTATCTATGAATTTGCCTTCGTATGATCGAAACAAGCGTGTATATTATATGGTGGTACATAGGCAATATATATTAGGGCCCTGAGAATCGTTAATAATTTCGATTTAAATCCATTTGCAAATTACCATGCTTAGAGAACAAAGGGGTCGTAAACCCTCCAGCAATTGCCACCTCCCGCTCGGAAATTCCATTGTGCTCATGGGACAAGCCCATCTTGAAAGGCGGAGATCTTCTCCGACCTTAAAGGCCCGGCTCCAGGGACCCGCCCCAGTCGGTGATTCAGTCAGAAGCAAAGATGATGTGAGAAAAACGCAATGAATCAAATCAGTTCTCATCATGCTTTGTTCTTTATTTTCAGGGAAGGAGAGATCAGTAGGGAGGAAATCACTTCATATTTCATGCGTGGGATGTCGGTGTGTGCTAAACTTGGCTTCAACCTCCACAACCTTCACAACTTCCATGAGACCACATACAAAAGGCCCACATTCTGTGACACCTGCGGAGGATTTGTGAGTGTTTGAACTAAGGACCATTTCATTTCTGTGTTTCTGACTTGTCTTTGTACATTAACTTCCCCCCCCCCCCTTTTTCCATTAGTTATGGGGAGTCATAAAACAAGGCTACCACTGCAAAGGTTAGAACACACAGTACTAATCAAACAGTTTCCTATATACTGTCACCTCAGGACCATCGTAACCCTGCTGCACCTCTCTCTCTGCAGACTGTGGAGTAAACTGTCACAAGCACTGTAAGGATGTGGTGGGAATGGAGTGTATGAAGAGGCTCCAGGTGACCAGTAGCTCTTGTCCCTGCACCCCGGGCCCCGTATCAGGCCTCCACACTAAGGGCAACAGCTGGAGTGAGTTTTTTTTTTTTTCAGTCTTGATATACATCAAGGAAGCTGGCCATTACAGCAAAATAACACCCAAAAGAGTGATCATAGTAGGAGCCTTGTACTTAAAAGTACAAGTACTACTTAAAAGTACAAGAAGAGGTTTATTTTGCAAACTTTTGACTGTGTACTATACCATTTATTTATCAAATGAAATACTGATTTGAGAACCATTTTATTGTGGGCCAAAAGAGAGACCATGGGGTGATGATTAAATATGAAACTAGCACAGCTAAAGGAAATCCAACACACTCTCATGTCAATTTGTTACTATTTATTTTAATTTTTACATTTTCGTACAATCTGCTTATACAGTCTGGTTTGGAGTGGACCTTCATGCTTGCTAAAAACTGTAAATTTTTACATGAATCAAATCATACGAAATTGCCATCTTGTAAAACTGTTACGTTATGTCATGAGATTGAAATTGGTTGCCAGGAACAACTGTGAATTATGTTTTAGAAGTCATTTAAAAAAAAAAGATTATTGTATTCCACAGCACCTTCTATTAAAGCCTAGTTATGTTTAAAACCCCTATGAAATAGCTTGATGAAGCCAGGCTAAATGTGAAATGGCATACTACCATACTTGTCTTACTATTTCTGCCATGTAAAGGATGCTACTATGCTATTGTTCAATAAACTATTTAGTGCTGTTAAATGATTAATCGTGATTAATCGCATCCAAAATAAAAGTTTTTGTTCACATAAAGGGCGCGTGTGTACTATGCATATTTATATATAAATACACACACATGTATATATTTAAGAAAAATATGTTATTTTATATAATATAAATTATATGAATATAAATATATACATGTAAATATTTTCAAAATATATACTGTATGTGTTTGTATTTATATACACATAATAAATATACACAGCACACACACATATATTATGTAAACAAAAACGTATTTTGGATGCGATTAATCGCGATTAATCGCTTGAAAAGCACTAAAACTATTTAATGGGGATTTTAAGCATATAAATATGTGGAAGAAAAATTAAGAGTGACAATACGAAAGAAAACATCCGTCGTTACTTCCGTTACATTGTCACTATAAAATGGCTAATAGGCTTTAACTATGTGATAGACATAAGGTGCGTCCCAAACCACGTACTTATGACGTTTTGTAGTATAAATAGTGTGATTAGTGTGTTCCCACTGAAAATTCCATAAAGAAAAAGTGCCCAGATGATGCCGAAAAACGAAGCATGGAATGTTGGACACTTCATGCACTCAACTGTCGCAGCTTTAATTATTATATTGAAGGGGGAGGGGCTGTCAGACTCCAATTATGAATGACAAAATAACCGTATATAATTCATACCCTACCTACATGGTTGAGAACATAGCGTATAAGTGCATTGTGCGTCATTTGGGATGCAGCTACAAACTATTACTTCTACTTGCTACTTGCTTTCGATTGTAAATGGTATTGTTATTCTAGAAAATATCTTGTTGGAGAGAAGATTGTCGTGCAGAATGTCATTAATACTCTTGGTCTGAATTCACCATTTATGAATATACTAGCATCAAAAGCCATACAAGTTTTAAAAGAAATGTTAAGCTGGCAGACAGGGCCGTTTCTAGGCATAGGCGAGCTAGGCGGTCGCCTAGGGCGCCACCAGCTGAAGGGGCGCCAATGAGCGCACATACTGGCACTGTGATAAAGAGTGGCACGGTCACCCTGGGCTAGAGTACTGTCAATCTGACGATGCCTGTATGCCACTAGATCAGAGTGCTGTCAATTGCTGCCTGATTGTTGCATGCAAAGTTTGCATTTGGAGCGCTCAACAACGCCATTAGATCAGTGGGCTCTGTCAGTGCTTTGGCAAGGTAACACTTTTTTACCATGCAATAAAGCTAAATTCAAAGGCCAATTTATAATATTGGTACAGTAAATAAAGTGCACAAAATCAGTATTTTGTTTAGGCAGTATTTGTGGCACATTTGTCCAAATATTTGTGGCAGATTTGTCCAAAAGGTGTGCGTTTTTTGCGCCAATGCATTGTTAAAGGATCAGCGTGTCATGTAATATTCCCATATAAACTTTAACATCCAATTAAAAAATATTTGTATAGTAAAATTCGCTAATTCACGAGATCAATACATCCTTTATTAGACCGCTTTGTCGAGTTAAATGCATCCTTACGGAGGTGTCGAAATGCTGAATCAATTCATTCACTTCCAACAGCGCTTAATGGGAGCAGTGTCATAGAGGGCAGAGCGTCACGTTATTTAAAGGGGACGTTAACGAGTAGCAAATGATTAAGTAGCTGCATTGTTTACTTAGTAGCTGTTTATGCCACTGATAAAGCTTTTAAATGTAGTTTGGGGTAACAAAGGGGTTTTATAGGTTTGACTGAAATAATAATGCAATAACTGACACTTTAAATCAATGATTCAAGAAACAACAACAATTTGTTTTTACAAAAAACAGATAAACACAAAAAAGTAGCCATTGATAATATCTAAACAATATGTAGTAGTATAGTATATAGTATCCAAATCAAAATGTAATAAAATTAATTTATGTGTAAATTATGTGCAATGTCTTAGCCACCAGGGATTGTTACATAGGGCTATACAGGCATCTAGTGACAACACAATGATATTACAGATACTAAATTGTGCAAAATGTTACACAATGTTTTTGTTGTGTCTCGCGGGTTTCACAATAACGGACATGGAAAGTTGACGTATACGTAAAGTGATTGAAAGAACAGAAAGGAGGACTAAGACTCTCTAACGACAACTGGCAGTGCTACATTTGCTACAAGTGCCTGCACTTCAGCGTCCGTCCATCTATCGCTGTTCTCCATACTTGCGAAATAAGTTGACACAATGTTTACAGTATGTTTACACAGCGTTTTAAATCATGGTAGGTGAGGGTGTTTTCGTACGCATTTGGCCAATCAATGTCTACTTACGTCACGATTAGTACCAGTTGTGCTGGTTAGACCCTGCTCCGGAGTAGGAGCTAATTTGGTTCTCGAAAAAGGCAGTCCGGTACTAAAATCGCACCCAGTTTCGGTGGTGCGAAAATGCCAAAAGGTGGGTAGTTCCACAATTAGTTCTGGTACTATGAAAAGGTTCCCGCAGTGCGAAAGGCCCTTATGACAACCAATTTGAATGTGACAAGCAACTGGTGTCTGAAAAGAAATATATATATATATATATATATAATTTTTGGGGGGGGCAATAGGGATTTCGCCTAGGGCGTCAAATTGGCTAGAAATGGCCCTGCTGGGAGATGACTTATTGGCTCTTAACCTGTTTCCCGACCTTTCAATCAGGTTCTGAAGAGGAAACATTTGTCTTTCCTAATGGAAACGGATCTGAACACTCCAAGGGCCAAACTTCATCAGACAGCGACGCAGAGGCGGCCACACTATCCGACAGATCCACTCAAACGGACCCAGGAGTTTGGACACCGGTGGCCAAACGGAAAGATCGTCTTCCTTCCCAGAAACAACATCCACCCCTTGAAAAGGTATTGCCATAAAACAACTTACATAAATTCCTTACATTTTTTCACAGCGAGTATGGTGGATATATTCATCATATATTGCATGGAAAGCTAATTTGGTGAGGAAGACTGGCTAGCATACACTACACTTTTGAGACTAACGTTACCTGCCTGCCTTATCATCCCAGAGCGCTACGCTACCAGCTTTTTTTTTTGAGTCATGGTGATGTTTTATAATTTAATTCTCAAAGCAAAAAATGGATTGGACAGGACAGAACAAATAACGTCATTAAATATGACCTTAACGGTTCCGGGAAAAAAAAGCCTCAACCAGGATGATCATCATTCAACACTCAACGGCTAGCATTTTGTATAATCAAGACAAATTTTACTTTTTAGTTCTCAACGCAACATTCTGCATCTTCTCGTCTTGTGTGGTTGCGATGGCAATGAGTATATTAAACATTGAACAACTACAATTTAAACAAAAAACATGCTTTTTACTGTCATGTCTTAATGTGGTAAATTAAGACTCAAAGTAGTTGATACAACAAACATCTACAATCCAAATTAAATGGAATTTAGGCAAAACAAAACTTGTTTATGGCAAAACAATCAGTGCTGACGAAGCATCTCAGTTTCTACACCTGCAGGCTGTTTGTGGTACTAGTAGCAACTCGCAATAATAATATCTTTCACATATACTAGATGAAGTCAGTCATCTCTCTACTTTTATTTCAAACGCAGGGGTTTGGTTGTACTAACTAGTATAATTACATCAGGGAAGTTTACATTGAGTCATTTAGTTCAATCGACAATCATTGACATAACAGTCGGCTTACTGTGTCTTGGAAAAATATGCAAATGGATTAACAAGAGAAAGAGAAAGTACGAAAGAGAAAATAAATGAAATGCTGGTAGTTAAAGTGGAAGGATGTATTTTAAGTACAGACGCTTTAACATGGTGTCTGTGATAACGGAGGTGATGTCAGAGCGTACTTCCTGATTACTGCAAGCCGTGTGAGCTCTGGCTTCCCTGCTGTCCAGAATAATTCCCA